GTGTCTGCTTGTAGATATAAAGTGTTAAAAATCACATTAGGTTCATTATTATAATTATTGAAAACCTTTGCCTGGCGAAGACAGGCTTCATGAACTAGTAATACATAATGTAGTAATGATAAAGTCTGGCGAGATACAATGCACTGCTAAGCGTGCCACGTAGTGAGATGGTGGGACAAATAACTGCGCTACTATACCACTGTACTGCTCAGCTAAGCAGCTGAAGAAAGTAGTTCGTCGTCGACCACGTTATAATGGCACGCAACTTCCACATTTTTGGTGGTGCATGTTCCGCATTGTGTGCAAAGTGTTCCCGAATGGAAGAACCGCGCTATAGCGAAAACGCGTTATCGTGTGAACGCCACGTGTTAAGCGAGGACTTGCCATATTGTGATGTTGTCCTAATGTGTGGTGCGTGTGTGCTGGCTGTACCACGCCCCTTGTTCACGCGCCCTTGCAGGTCCTTGCAATAATGTGCTCGGTTAACAAAACTTCCCCCAACAGTATATGCAGGCTACACCGTATATGTATATGTGTGTATCTGTGCATGTATCTCAATGTATATCGTATTTATATCTGTGTGTGCATCACAGTATGGATCTCAGTATGTATCTGTGTGTGTGAGACAGCTGACACATGCAGTAGACACGGTGTTCACAGTACACACAGTACGCATAGCACACAAGCAGTACACACACTACACACAGAAAACACAAAACACACACGCTGTTCACACAGTACATGCACAGTACACAAAGTGCGCGAGCAGTACATACTTTGTACACAATACACGGTACTGTACATGCTGTACACACACACACCAAATACAGTACACACGCTGTACACACAGCACACACTGTACAAACAGTCCGCACAGAGCACACACTGTACACAGAGTACAAACACCATACAAACACCGTACACACACAGCACACACTGTACACAGTACCTGGAACAAACACCGTACATACACTGTACACACAGTACGCACACTGTACACACAGTGCAAATGCTGTCCAATGTCTGACCACATAGCGGCATGTAGAGCGAATTAAAACTGCAGTCGAGCGAATTTTTGTTAGAAAGAGGTGAACTCCATACACAGTACGCAAAGTCGCACAAACCAAACCTGCATCGAGCGAGGGAAACTTTTTTTTAAATACTACACAATCAATGGCTGGTAGTATCTGACCCTTTCCTGTCCCTTCATTTCGGAGCAGTATGTAAGCATCGTCGAGTACTCGAATTATGACAGCGGTTAGGAGGGGTGTTGATCCTCAGCCATAATGTGATCAATTTCGGTAATTACCCAACGGTGGTCTTCTTTCGTATGGATTCATGGCAACAGATTAAAGATGTAATTTTAGATTTGTTATCCACTGAATTATCCGTTCAGAAAGAGTGCAGGCCGCTGAAACGTTGATGCGCCATTTGTGCATCAGGTGGCCGCATCGGCCATGCCCGGTCCTGATTCGGTTGATAGTCGACCATTAGCGGCGTGGAAGGTTGAAAAAGGGAGGGTCGATGGTAGGGTCCTGTATGAGATGTTTATTTTTGACGGTGGCCACAGTCCAAACTTGCTTCCATCTCTCACCTTCATTTTTATTTGTGGCGTGGAGTGAGGCTGCTGTGATCCAGAAGGAGGTGGCGTGATTTTAGGCGAACAGACGCCACTGGATTTATGTCCCGATGTATCGGAAGGTGCAGGTTAATGATAATGTTTTGGTACTCCCTGACGGCCGCTGCTTCATGACAGATTTGCGGCGGAGCGATGTGGGTGAGCACTGGGAGCCACTGGGTCAGTGTCGACTTCAGTGTACCTGAGATGGCACGCATTGCAATGTTCAATTGTGTGTCGATACGTCCCCACCCAGTTGAGCAATACTCTCCCGTCAAATACATGAGGGCGAGAATGGTAGCCCGTAGTATTTGTGCATCACAGCCCCAACCAGTTCCCTCCAGTTAATGGATAATGTGCGTGCGGGTTTTTATCTTATTGCTCGACTGCTCAATGTGTTGCCTGAGAGTGAGACTTTGTTCGAGCACCACTTCAAGGTATTTCTGGAGTGGGTCGTGGGTGACGGTTTTACCACGAAACTCAACCGTTAGCGTTATTTTTGCCTCCGCATTGTTGAAATAGAATGCTGAGAACACTGTCTTGGTTGCATGTGGCTTACGTCGCCAGGATAAGTAATAATCTACCAATTTCTTTAGGTTGGTGTTGAAGATGTCTTGAGCTGCACTGAGTGTCGTCGCTTGGCTGGCCAGTGCTAGATCGTCTGGGTAAATGAACTTGCGGCATGTCGCTGGTGTACAGATTAAACAGGGTTGGTGCTAATACCGACCCCTGCGGTAGGCCATCGTGTAGAGTGCGTGGGTGGCTGATCTGGTTTCGGAGATGGACGCGAAATTGTCGGCTGCCTAGCATACTGGCGATGAGGCAAACCGTTTTTTTCACACTTAATGGTGTTGGTGATTTTTAATAGAGGTCCTCGGTGACAGACCATGTCGTATGCAGAGGACAAGTCTATGAAAGCAGCCACTGTTTTCTGTTCATGCTGAAAGCCGGCTTCGATGTGTGATGTCAAGGTGAGGATCTGGTCACAACAGCTTCGTTGTGGAAAAAAACCTGCCTGTTCAGATGGTATGGTGGCTTCCAAGAGAGGAGAGAGTTGAGCAGCAGTACTCGTTCCAGTAGCTTGTAGGCTGTGCAAAGAACACAGATTACCCTGTAGCTGTGCGGGTCCATCAGCAAGTTTTCCTGGTTTGAGGAGAGCAATGTCTTTTGCTTTTCTCCAAAGTCTTGGTAGCTTGCTGGTGGCGATTAATTTTTTTCTTAATTTGCCAGCCAAGTTCTACCTTTGCTGCCAAGGTGTTTTAAGAATTCCAGGTAAATCCCATTTTTCCTGCGGCTTTACCTGCCTTTGTTACCGCCAGTGCGGCACCTATTTCTCCTGGAAGTACAGCTGTAGACAAAGGAGAGTTTTTGATGCTGGTGGAGAGTGTATCTTTTGCGGAGTTTTACTCTGCATTCTTGTTTTCGGCTTCCAATTGTTTGTACATTGCCGAGAAGCTGCACCGCTATCCCATTAGCAGAGTCTGGTGTTCTGAGGGAGCTGCTCCACCGAGCTTCTGACCCAACGGTGGTATGATTATGTTTCTTGCTTCGTACGCAGGAGGTCCTGTTTTTCGATCCCGACCATGACGCCTATATATTTGAAGTTTGCATGCTCTCCACACTTAGAATCAACATGTGTTTAGATTATTTAGCTGTTCTAATTTTACATGTGATAAGCCACTTCGTCGAGCTATCATTTATGTTAGCCAAGTCACTTCTGATAAAGAAGCTAATAGCTCAGTAGGCTTTACATGCTGATGTAGTGACTGTGAATGTCACTGTGTGGTGCCGGGCTTACGAAGCCACGGCGGATGTGTTGGCATTATGGGTAGCCCGCTTACTGGGCATAGTACCAGCCCTAGCGGGGCTTGGGTGAGCGCTGGTCAGCGCGGAGGCACCATGTACAGTGTGTGGTGTGGGCTCCCAGTGAGGGAGCGAGAGGGAGTGTCAGCCAGCCAGGGTTATGTTGGGGCGTGATACGCTGGTTAACCTGCTGACACATGACCGGATGATATTGGAGGGGGGGGCACCGGTGGCCGGGGGCCACTGGGCGGTCACGTGGTATAAAAAAGCTCTCGGGAGCCTTCGGGAAAGAGCTCGAGAGATCTAGAAGGTGGGAGGGGCGAGGGGCGGAGCCAGCCCCAGCCCATGCAGATTTAACGGGGGTTCCGTGGGGGGGGGGTCGCGGTTCTTCATGTTGCTGGTGATGAAGATCCACGTCGGGTTAAAGAAGCCTCTAGCCATGTGGTCCGGGACCCAGCTTGTGGTCCGGGGCGGGATAGAGAACTGTGTCTAGTTCTGCCGTAGCGTAGCTAGATGGGCGTTCAACACCCAAGTGTAGGTTGTGTTATGTTAAGTTGAGTTGGTAAAATAATAGTGTTGCTCCCAAGACAACGTCTGCGACTCAATTGGACTCACTACACTACGATGAAAAAAAATAGATTCGTTTTATTTGTATATATTTAAGTGATTTGTATACTATTCCTATACTTTGCACTCCTATCGTATTTTTGTATTGTGTGTCGTTGTAACGTACTGACCTGCCCCTACTGGACGTAACTTTATAGCTCATCAGATTCCTTCAGTATAAATAAATATTCTCATAAAAAATAAATATTCTGATTCAACAGTCTACAAGGTTACATTTTTCGATTTTATCTTACCGGATGAAGCCTACTGGGATATGTATCTATTTTGAGAGGCGACCTGTCCACAAATGATAACTCAACCAAGTGGCTTATTATCACGTGGAAATTTATAGCAGCTAAATAATGTAAATGCGTGAAAAAAATCAGGCTTTATGTTTTCACTTTTCTTGAGTTCTGATTATGGGCTTGCTTGTTGGAAGGGATGCAATGAGTCCCAGCGAGATGCTGGGGCTCATTACATCCCACATAGGATCGCTCCGCCAAACAAATAGTTCCGCCGGTTCAGTTTATAAGAACGAGCGAACGTTCACAAGTCAAATGGTTAAAAATAATAACATCTTATGGTGGTCTGTTCGTAAGTGCAGATGTTTGTAAGTCGGGTGTTCGTATCTCGGAACTGCATTATATTCCGTGGTGGTGTAATGGTTGGCACACTTTACATTCAATCCAGAGGTCGCAGGTTCGAGCTCTCAGTTAACATAATGGGTTTTATTTTAATCCCCACCCACCCTATCCAACCAGTACCATACTATACATGAATACACCACAGTTGGCCGATCGGTGGTTTGGAGTTTCAACCGAATACCCACTGCCAGCAGTGGCGTGAGCAAGAAATTACCGGGCTATGCCATCACCTTGTAATACACGTCTCGTTTAACACACACTATTCGACTCTGTCTCAGGTTCCGCTGAATTTAATTCTGCTGGGTTCGAGTTGCTGGGAGAAGAACGCCATGGCTAGCGCGGTGCGTCAAGACGCGGACTGTCCCATTTGCATGGACAAATTCAACTGCCCTGCCACCCTACACTGCGGCCACTCTCTCTGTCTCCAGTGCCTGATAGACGAATCGGGAAAGGTAGAGAAATTCACCTGCCCGCGGTGCCGTGCCGTATTTTCATCACGATCTCTGCCCAAGGGTAGACTTGCCGTCGACATCGTGGAGCAGCTCATATCACAACACGGGATGGGTAAACCATGCGAATTGTGCCACGAAAAAAAGGCAGCCGGGGGGACGTTCTGCCTGCGGTGCGAGATGTTCATCTGCGAGTCGCACGTCGAGAGCCACATGAAGAATGAAAGGTTTACAGCTCATGTGCTCGTGGCGCCTGGTACGCTTCGCGATGGCCAGGCTGGTGCCAATCAGGTTAGTGGTAGCTTGTGCATATAGCTGAACCACAATACCTTGCTGATTTCGTCAAGAAGCATAAACTATCATGCGCACTGCGACCATCCTCGCAGCGGAGGAGACGGTTTCCACATCACACACTTTTATATGCACTTCTGTGGCCATCTGGAATGCTCTTCTGATCTTAGAAAGCCACTGGAGCTCTGCACTAGATAGCTTCACCAGCCTGTGAAGCTGTCTAGAGCTCGATATAGTGAAAGCCCTTCTGCCAGCAGTGGCGAGAGCAAATAAATGAAGGGTTGTATGTATGGTTCTGCTTATAACTAGAAAGATTTGACGAATATTTCTACTTTGGGATATTCATAAATCAGGGGATCTAATTTTAACATAGACGTATGAAAGTTTGTACCTGAATGGTTACAATCTAAAGTTGGCATACAATTTTAACTTTTCACAACCAGGTTTGACCATTTTTGCCTTCTCCTCTATAACATGGGACATGTAGTGTGACAGTTTAGATTTGGAGGGTTTAAAGGATCCTCAGTCAACATATAGCATCATATAAATTAATAAACAATCCAAATACTTTAATATTTTGGCTTCTCCAAAATTGTGAGAGCAAGAATGTTGGACAGGATGAAAGTTGCTTTCTAAGGTAAAGTTTTTAAAAGGTTCTAAATAAAAATTTCTCAATAGATGTAAAATTAGAAAACGAGCATTTGTTTTCTAATTATGGGCCCTAAAAATTTGATGTGGGTTATATGTTCCATTGTGTTTTTTTTACTAAGTAAATGGAAAACTATCTAAACAAATATAACATCACATTTAAAAGTTTGAGATTTTGGTACTTTTGTAATAATGATGCTAAAATTGTTAGAAACTTGGGTGGCTTCGGCTACAAAATCTAGTTTATTTAACAAACACCCATGATATGGAAATGTGCATTTCAATAATCTAACATATGTGTTTGATGTTTTCCCATGCACTTTTCAATTGTATCCGCAGAATGTCAGCGAAGGTGCAAATCACAACAAGTCAGATACAGAAAACTCAGTAATAGTGCATAAAGATTTTCACTTAGTGTACGGAAAGTCACTGCCATTGGTAACGCCATCTGATTACGTGAAAGTCATTGCAATCGTTGAGAAACCTAATGTTCAAATGAGTCAAACATCGGCCATTGTGAACATGCTTCTTCCATATATCATGCAAGTCATAAAGATGTGGGGAGTCAGTATTCTGCATGCTGCAATTATCAGTGAGCTAGCTCAAGAAGATATGGAAACATGTCACAGTAGCCAGTTCTGCAAAAGTCCTACTTTTGCAAAAACATCGAGCAAGGCAGCTGCTTCTTCCCTTGCAGCACAGACACGGGCGTTGAATGAAGTTCCATTGTCTAGACTTGACTGTCTGGTTGCTCTACTCAGTTCTGCTGATTGCACTGTGGTACAAGATCTCATTCAGATCCTGAGCAAATTCCCAGTAGCGTTGCCACTGGTGATGCCCAACCTGGAGAAGAAAGGCGAATACAAAGTGATGCTCCCCCTGATCACTGGCAACACCGTAAAGTGGGAGGTTCAATCAGGTGTCATAATTGAGAACGACATCTTCACCAATCCTTTCATACTGATTTTAGCTGTTCGTCTTGGCAATAGCACGTGCGGGAAAAGCACGATCCTCAACCAGCTCATGGCCGTGGAGAACATGTTCTCATCGTGTGGAGAACCTGGAGCTCGACGGGGACGCCCTTTGACGCTGGACGGAACTGTGGAGTTCACTTGGCTCACTGAGGAGACCTGCGGGGCTGGGCTGTGGAAGTCCGTCCTGCAGCAGTTTTATGCACGTGGAGGGAACGAGGTTGTGATGTTGGCCAATCTTCACGGAGATGCCTCTGAATACCCTGAAGTTATCCAGTTCTTCAAGAATTTAGCATCAACCTACGTGGTGTTTATGATGCCAGAAAAGGGGGAACTTCTCAAAGAGAAATGGAATACATTTGTCCAACTCTCTGGTTCGCAAGAGAACATCCATTATCTCATGGTGGATCCTGATGAAGACTGCAATGAAGCAGAAGAGATTGTTATTCAAACGACGAGGCTCACAAATGATGACACGTTGAAAAAAGTACGAGCTATGTTCAAAAGGGCCTTAAACTCAGCTGCAACCAAAATTAAACGTTCATTTAAGCCAGATATGTCAAATCTTGGCAAAACACTGCAATTAACAGAGGGAATTAGCTGCTATCAATCACAACGTGTGATAGATTTCATCACTAAGAACACTTGCCAAGGGACAAGAAATATCATGCAATTTCAGATGAAGAAATCAGGAGAACGAAATGCTCACGATTTATGGAATGGCAACAGAGTTCTGCAAACGCTGATACACTTATATTGTAAAGTTATGAGGCTCCCTCTATCAGAACGACTAAAAGCGATGGCTCATCTCGAGCAAAGTATTGCACAGCTCTCGAATTCTGAGTCCTCAAAACTGAGACAAACCGTCATAGCAGAGAGAGAAGAGCTTCAACGTCAAACACTCTTGAATGGCCAAAACAAGTTGACGATTAATAAAATGAAAGAAAACATCAATACAAACATGAAGATGTTGGATCGAATGTCTCTTGGTCCAGAGCATTTTTTTCGTGAGTTGGGTCACATATACGAATTGACAAACGAGGGCCAAAGAGAGAGTGGAGCTCTTTTGGAATGTCCTACTTCATACGCCGAGCTGCTAATGAGTGGCCACGCCATTGAGCTGCTAAACGGCGACACTGGAGAAATGCCGGGTGCTTGGCTGACGGCGATTTGCAACCACGTCACAAAAGTATTCCCAAATTTGCGCATATTTGTTCTTTCAATACTAGGATTGCAGTCTTCTGGAAAGTCCACACTCCTGAATGCCCTCTTTGCCTGCAAGTTCGCAGTGTCCGTTGGTCGCTGCACTCGTGGTCTTTTTATGCGGCTGCTGTTCCTGGAGAAGAAACTTAGTGACAGACTGAACGCTGATGCAATCCTGCTCATTGACACGGAAGGGCTTGGAGCACCAGAGAAAATGAATGATGATGATGCAGAACAAAAGGACCGAATGCTGGCAACGTTTGCAATGAGCGTGAGCAACCTGACTATCATAAATATCCTCGGGGAGTACATGAGGGATCTGACGGAGATCCTACAGATTGCAATTGTGGCGATGGCACGATTGGAAAAGGCTAAAATGTCTCCAGACATTCTCATGGTTCAGCATCTGACAGAGAGGAACACATCAAAGACCTCTTCAGGACAGGAACAATTCTGCAAAGCTCTAGAAAACGCACTGGAGCTCACGAAAGAAAAAGACGTTGACATGGGAATATTAGATGTCAATTGCTTGACAAACTTAGCTGACAGAATACAGAAAGGAGAGCTTCTGAAACAGTTCCGTCCCTTCAAGAATGGGGCAAGTGCTGGTGCCCCACCGTCAAATCAGTACCACAATGACGTGGTGGATCTTTATGAAACCGTCCTAAACGCATGTCAAAAGTCAGAAAATAAGATGCCATTCTCAGATTGGCACTCACTTATACAGAGCTATTGGAGTTGCGTCTCAAATGAAAATTTTATTGTTCGATTTAAAAACATCAAGGAAATTTACGAGTTTATAGATCGTGGACAGCGAATTGCCAGCTTAAAGGAAACAATAGATGGAGCGTTTTATGTTCACGTGGAAGCTATGAAACGTCAAATACGATGTGAAGTGACACTTTGGACACCAGAAGAGCAACGTCAAAAGCATAGATTGCTTTTAAACAACTTTGAGAATGAATTAAAAACAATGCCAATGAATTGTGAAAATGACGCTTATAATAATTTGGGATGCGACAGATGTACAGAAGTCATAAAACAGACCATCAGTTTAAATGAGTATGCTACAGAAAAACAGTGTGAACATGAAACGATGAATACAATTGATGCATACACCAAGCATGTCCGCAAGTCTACATTGACGACTCTAACACAAATACTTGATGCCACAATTGTGCGGCACGGCTGCTCGGTGGAGTTTTTGGAGGAGATTACACGCAGCCTAAAAGCTGCATTAAGTCAAAGGCCAGCTGGTACATTCACTGTGCCTGAACGCGAACAACGAGTTGAAGAAATATGGGCATCTCTTGTAGAAATCGCCAAGTCAAAGGAAAGCGATATCCATGATTGTGATAAAATTAAAACTGAAATGGCCGACGTGTATAGCACCGCACCAAATGTCTTGAGTCGATATTATGATGAACCGCCGATCTGTTATTTGGGCCAAAGAGAGGCGTTTGAAAAGTCACGTTTTAGAAGATTTTGGGCAAAGCGAACAATAATGAACGACAATGAGCTCTCCTGGCTCGAAGATGAGCTTGATAAAATTCCCATATCAATTCTTCGTGCCAGACAAGCAGACCACTTTGAACATGGCATGATTCGTCGACTGAAATCGAACATAGAAGATATTCTAAACCTATTTCAAAAGGTTTTTCGTAAGAAACTTCTCACCGAGCTCAAATGGGATGCTCACGTCTACACTCTTCAGAAATTTGGCCACCTCATGTCCATGTGCCAGGAGGAATGGGAAAAAAAGCACAGTCCGACTTCAATATTGAAACAAAGAGAGGAGGAATTTCGATCACTCATAGATCTTCGCCTACAGCACGGCTTCTCGTCTGCTTCTGAAGGACGTATAATTTCCAAATATCTTCTGGAAGCAATAAAACAGAAATCAATTAAAGCTGGGAGTTCCGAGAAAGTTCAAGCTGTGCTCGACCTCCAGTGGACAACCAATAGCGAGAAGGTGCGGCTTCAGTACTTTGAGCATTTAGCTTCCCAGGTGAATAACGGTGAAAAATCAGAGGCACTTCAACATTTTAGTTGTCCAAAGCAAGCAATAAACAGGTGGTTTACTCAGACAATTAATCATCATGCTCGTAATAAGGAAACGACACAATGCAAGAAAACATTTAAAAGTGAGTTCCAGCGTGTTCTTCAGAAAGTCGGAAGTTGTACAGATGTTAGTGAAATTATCACTTTCACCCAACTTTACTTGACAGATGTAGAGAATGTCGAATACAAAAGTTATTTTGACAACCAAGAAATAGCCAAGGGGGACTTGAAAGTCTTAAAAAACAGCATCCTACATGGGCTTAATGATTCAGCTTCAACAGTGGACTGCACACAGTTGATGTTCACAGATCCATCGACGGATGAGACAGTGATGCGACGTCTAGGTTGCACGGAGAAGTGCTTTTGGTGTGGAGCTCTCTGCTGGGGATCTCGTGGACACGATAATAACGCGGATGAAACAAGAAAACACCATACATGTCACCAACCACGTGGCCTTAGTTATACAAATTATAAAAACACTACTAATTTAGTAGCAGAGCCTTGCCATTTAACGTCAAACGATACAACAGTCACTTGGGGAAATAATGAAATGAAGTGGTCTGCTGCGAAGCAAACAGAGTTCAGTCATTGGAAATTCGACGCCCATTGCAATAATAAATTTGATGAGCTCATGCGTTGGTTCTTTCAAGAATTGCATAAAGATATTGCTGAGTCTAGAAAATTGCTTCCAGCATTAGAAGACGAGTTGAAGATGTACAAATGTGAAAACCTTCATCTTGCACCCATACTATCGACAATTCGAGAGTTAATCAAATAATATGCAGGGCCTTAATATGGGGATGGTTAACCAAACGAAAACATGCATTACATCCTCATTGGATGATTACAAGTGTCCAACCATCATCTTAAGAATTCTGGATGAAGGCCTTCCCAAGTCATCATCTGACAAGATATATCTTCTTTTTATTTTTGTCTCCAACCTTATTTTTTAAATCTCCATATATATTTTAATTTCCAATCCCTTTTCCACTGCCCCATGCCAGACCTCACTTCCACATCCCCACGCCTCAATGCCTGTCTTTACCCTGGTGTTCGTGTAATGCTGTTTTTTTCCCTTCCACATTGTTTAGCATTTAAGTGTGACGATGGCACTTTGAGTGACATATTCGTGCCAGAACGGTGCCACGTGTGTTTTTGCGCCAAATCTATTGAGGTACATTTCGCCCATCGCGCCCACCTGTGGCTCGACTATTCATGGTAGACCACTCAGATTTATGTACGCATCGTAACTGCACTGCTCGCGATGCTGTTGCCGCAGAAGAACACACGTGCCATCTTGTCTCTATCTCGTCTCCCAAGCGGCCCATCCTGGGTCCCAGGCAACGCGGTGATCCCATTCTCCAGTGAGGAGGCAGCGAAATTCAGGCACTGCGATTCGTCTCCCTGTAGTGTACACAACTGTACACGGATACTATGTCTACAATGCCACGTGTAGAATACTGTACAATAATGTACACAGTATCAGTGTACAGTACTGTAAAGGGTGGTTCGGATGGCTTGTGGCCCCAATTAATTGACCCCTAACATGTACCCTTTGCATATTCATTTCCGTTTAAAATAAATCTTACTTAAAAAATATATATTAAGTTTTAGAGAATCAAATGGGGGTTACAAGACATCTGGACTACCCTGTACAGTATTGTATGTGGGTACGTATACAGTATTGTACACTGCATAATTTTTTTCCTATACATTTACCATACAAGTTACATTTAACGGTGACAAATATTAATATTTTACATTACTTTCTATTTTCAAGAACTTAACCCCCACAATGGGCAAGGGTTTGCTGTACATCAGGGGCATAGAATGTGCATACTTACAGAGGATGGTAGAAATGTTATTGCAAGTGTAATATTACGGCGGGAGACCACTTGACGGGTAGCACACTTTATTAACACTTTCCGTAGCCACAATAACACGTGTGGTCAACTACAGCTCATGCTACACGTTCCACCCGGCTACACACACATGGGCTCTCCAGCCCCGTAGCTTCCAGGGGAACTCACAGACCCACCCCAGCCGGGGTATGGATCACGACCACTGGGTCCCGCAGCCCGGCCCTCACAAGGACATCCGGCCGCGGGTCCCAAGGTCCCGCCTCTGAGCCACACAGGGTCCCGGCCCTTACAAGGACAGCGGGGCTAGGGGTCTCAGGACCCTATCTCTTCCTCCTCCGTCTTCCGTCTGCACTGGTTACCAACTCCCCGAGCGCATCGCCTTTCATAGTCCTCCGCTCCCGAGGGGGCGGAGCCTATGGGGACCGCGATGTGAGCACCCACTCTAGTTGACCAATCACCACGCGCTGCCACACGATCCCTACTGCCAGCGCGTATCACCACTACATCACCCCCTCCCACATAGCTCGCAGCCGGCCCGGCTGCCAAAAAAAACCCCACTCCCCAAGTGTGCCCCATAACATAACCATAATGCAACACAACAACACAACACAACACCGAACGTTAACCAGTAACAACAACGAACTATGTACAAAGCGACGAGTAACACAATAAAAGTTATTTTGAAAAGACCGACGTGTCCAGTGTCTCCTCGACTCCCGATCCCCCTCCCGCTCGCCCCTTGAACAGAACGATAGAGCGGTCAAACGGACGGGGAACGCCGTGACGAGACGATCCGGCCGACTCGTCCCGCACCTCCACCTCATTTGTTGGGTCAGGAAAAGTGGTGCGATCTAGCGCGAGTCCGCCTGGCTGGTCCGTCGTACGGAACGGGACGCTGTCGACCGTCCGGTGGCTCCGGCAGCCCAGGAAGGCACGGTTCGGGCCTGGAAGAACCGCCCGTGCCGCGGGGATCCGGTCGCCGGTGGTCGGCAGCCGTCAGTTCCGAGACACCTGGGAGCGGATCAGGCGAAAACATGTGAGGATCTTGGAGACATTTCCCTCCCCGGGTCGTCGGTCACATCACATGCTCGGTCCTCACGACATAAAGGAAGGCCATATGGTGGCGAGAACGGTTTCAGCCGGGAGTTTTGAACGTACCAACGGCGCTTTCCCCATTTTATCTGAACACACTGGGGTCGTGCAACCCGCACGACCTCCACGGGTCCCCGCCATGGCCTCAATAATTTAGGCGACGTAGCCAATGGTGCATGAGGGCAGTGCAGCCAGGCCCTATCGCCCGGTTTCCAATCGTGCATGGACACCTTCCATGCACGCAAGCGCTCGTTGGCGATTTGGCGAGACCTTGAATTTAGCCGTGCGGCCTCCCGTCCCTCGGCCAGTTTTGCAATGTTAAATTTAATATGGTCAGCCAACTTGGAATTAGGCCGTGGCACGGAAAGCCCCAGCTGAGTCTCCATGGGCGGATCGGCCTCCCGACCGTACATCAGATAAAATGGGGAAAATCCCGTAGCTGCATGGGGGGCCATCCTGTACGCGGCGAGGACCCCCGGGACCTGCAAGTCCCAGTCAACCTGTGCCTCGCACACCTGCTGGCACAACATGGAAGTTAAAGTTCTGTGGAGTCGCTCCACCATCCCGTCAGTCTGTGGGTGGTACGGGGAGGTACGCACCTTTTTTGTACCCAAAAGGTCGCACACCTCATGCAGCAATTTGCTCGAAAAATTCTTCCCCTGGTCGGTCAGCAAGCGTTCGGGAGCCCCCTTGTCCAAGACGTAGCCCTGGACAAAGGCGTCCGCCACGGCCGCCGCCGACTGGTTGGCGAGTGGCCACGCCATAGGCCATCGAGTAAAGTATTCCACACCAACCAGCAGGTACTTGTTACCCCTAGGCGTGACAGGAAAAGGTCCCAAGATATCCAGCGCAACGAGACCTGAATGGACTGCAGCGGTGGATTTGGCGCAACGGGCGGTGGTTTCCGTTTCGCGCAATCCACACACCCCTTCAGTATATTGACCACATCGCTCCCCATCCCCGGCCAATAATAGTCACGCTGGAGCAGAGCGAGCGTTTTGTTTACTCCCAGATGCAAGAGGCGTTCGTGTGCGGCCAGAACAACTTTGCCCCGCATAGCGGAAGGCACGATGAGTGCGTGCCGCCGGGACATATTGTCCCATCTCATTAGCAGGCCCTGCTTAAGCAGCCAGGAGCCAGCTCACTTCTGACCTTCGTCGGGACCCCCCGCCCTGCGACGCAACGCGAGCAGGGAGCTGTCAGCCATCTGGAGTCGGCCCCACTCAACGAGAGACAGTGAGAGTAGCGAGTCCCCGCCCGCAGGAGTAGCGGGAACGTCAACCAATGGTGCATTCGCGGCCGCGACCAACTCACCCTCGGGTACAGCAACATGCAATTTACAGCGCGCCGACCCCATCAAGCACGCACATTCGGGACGAGGCGACAACCGCGACAGGGCATCCGCGTTGGTGTGGCGCAACCCCTTACGGTAAGTGGTCGTAAATTGATAGTCCTGGAGGACCTCCAACTACCGTGATAATTGGCCCGAGGGTTGGGCGACCCTCAATGCGTACTGAAGCGCCGCGTGGTCCGTACGGACCGTAAAATGACGGCCATAGAGATAAGGTCTAAATTGCTGTACAAAAAAAACAATAGCCAGCAACTCGCGACGGGTCACGCAGTAGCGCTGTTCCGCTGGCGATAAAACCCTGCTACCATAGGCGACCACCCGTTCGACTCCCCCAACGACCTGTGAGTGCACTCCCCCAATGCCCGTGTTACTAGCATCAGTATCCAGCAAGAAGGGTCTCGTAAAATCAGGGTAACATTAGGGCGGGGCACCCACCAAGGCGTCCCGAAGGGAGCAGAACGCGGCCTCCTCCTCTGGCCCCCATCGAAACCTGACCCCTTTTGCTGTCAGAGCATGCAAGGGTTTGGCAATGGTGGCGAAATGCTCAATGAATCGGCGGTAGTAGGAAGCAAATCCAATGAAACTGCGGACCTCAGAAACCGACGTGGGCGTCGGCCATGAACTGACACAGTTCGTCTTCGCGGGATCGGTGGAGATCCCCGAAGAGTCGACAACGTGGCCCAAGTACCTTACGGATTTCCGAAGCAGGTGGCATTTAGCCGGTTTAAACTTCAACTTAGCCGATCGCATCCGCAAGAACACCCCCCTTAATCGCTGGAGGTGTTCCTCGAAAGTTCTACTGAAAACAATGACATCATCAAGGTAAATCAAGCAAGTATCCCATTGCAGACCCGACAAAACCAATTCCATAAGGTGCTGAAACGTCGCGGGAGCGGAATGGAGTCCCATGGGCAAGCGATTAAACTGGAACAGGCCCCCTGGGGTTCGGAATGCGGTCTTAGGTTTAGACTCATCGTCGAGTGGTAATTGCCAGAATCCCGACAGTAAGTCAAGTGTAGAAAAATACCGCGCCCCGGATAATGCGTTCAGTGACTCATCCAATCTGGGGAGCGGATACGCGTCAGCCACAGAGATCTTATTAAGGCGACGGAAATCTACACAAAAACGCAAGGGACCCGTCTTGCTTTTTAACCAGAACGATAGGTGCTCCCCATGGACTGGATGAGGGCGAAATGATGTCGGCAGTCAGCATGTCATTGACGGCCGATTGAACGTGTTCCTTCTCGGCAGGACTCAGCCGGAAGGGATTCTGCCGGACTGGTGCCGCATCACCTGTTTCAATGTGGTGGCGTAACAGGTCCGTGCACCCAATATCATATTTGTGCTTGCTGAACACATCGGAGAATTCGATCAGCAGAGCGCGCAGCGCACCCAATTGCACCCTCGACAAATCACTGGAGCCCGCACACAGCGAGTCCAACCATTCCAGGTCCTCACCTGATTGAATCTTCTGCGCCGGGACGGGATCAACATGCGCAATAAGCTGCTCTTCCACAGGGACCCGTGCCGCGTGAGCAAGCACGGTGCCCTGCGGAATAACGGCCGGCCGCGAACCAGCGTTCAAAACCATAACGAACGGGTCCCCGTCAGCCCGAACCAACGTTTGAGCCACCGCCAAATCCAGACCCCCGACAGCTCTATTCGACGGACCCAAAAGCATGCCTTGTCCCGCAGTCTCCCGACCTAATGGCTTCCGCAACCGGAGGGGTACCAACATCTGCGAACCCGGGGGCACGTGCACCGTATGGGTCGCTAGCGCTTGGATCGTCGCACAAGCCGTCCGCATTTCAGTAGGGTTAGACAAAAAGGAAATACGGCGACCCGATGGCAACTCAATACAACCTTGATCAACTGGAATTTTAATGGGCATCTTAGCCAAAAAGTCTGTACCCAACAGACAAGGAACCGCTAGGGAAGAGGAGACCAAAACAGGTCCCGCCAATTTAGTATCCCCTATGCAAATACTCGCCCGAATCTGACCGACAATGCCCAACGAGCCCCCATTTGCCGCATAACATGGCACGTCCACCGGGAGCAGAGGCCGACATTGGACGGGGAGAATGAAATGAGATCGGAAATGATAGTCGCCGACGCACCCGTGTCCACCAACACCCTGACCTCGATACTGTCTATGAATCCCGTAACGACAGACGAGCCGGCCGACGCAGCCACTATTCTGTGGCCCAACTCGGACCATTTAATTTCCCCCGGGCCCCGTACGAACCCCCCTTTCCAAACCGAATCCCCGGCCCCCAATCGCACCTCCTCCGCCGCAAAGCGGCGGCCCATGTGTGTCGTGTATGTAGACCGAGTATGTGAAGTGCCGCGACTTGCCGGGGGTAGTTGGGACGTCTTGGGGCCTTGGTCGTCGTCCAGCCGAGGTCCCGTGGCGCACTGACGTGGAGCGCGGCACCCGGACGCCACGTGGCCCCAAAGGCCGCAGTTGTAGCACGTGACGAGGGACGTCGGAGGTCTCCGTTGCTCCAGCTTGCGGGTCGATCGCAGAGGCGAACGACCCCCCGACCTCCAATCCCCTGGTCGTGCTGCAGCGAACGCCTCCTCCCGTGGGCGAATGACTTGGGGCTCGGTGTCCACCGGGGCCGGAGCTGAGACCGCGGCAGAAGCGCAGACGACCACCTGTTTCCGCTTCAGGACCTCGTGCGCCTGGATGCTCGTCGCAACACGCAACGAACATATGTCCACCTCGTCGGCTGTGTTGATGGGGACCCCCAGGTCCTGAGCCAACTTCAGCAGTTGTTCCAAAACCATAGCGTCCTGCCCCTCCTCGTCCATACGAGGGAATGCGGCGTCCGCAAGAGCCAACAACGCCGTGCGGTAGGCGAGCGCGGTCTCCGTGTCTGCCTTCCGTCGCTCGTAAAATTGGTGGCGGCAGGCCGAAGGTGGTCCGTACACCTTGGCCATGAGGCCCAGCGCGGTCTTGAGCGTGGAGCGGGCCGATCTCGGGGCGGACCTGAAGGCCGCGAGCGCGTTGTCGTCCAGCATCGCAGGCAGTGCCCGTAGCGCCGTAGCGTCGGACCAGGCCGACATATCTTGATGGGCGAGAAATCTTCGCTGGAATGTGCCCCAGTCACCCCCTTCCGCCTTGAAAGCCGTTAACGCGGGAAGACGCTGCTGGAAAATAATGTCGTCCTCCGCCTCGTAATTTTCCCGCGCCGCACCGTCGATAGGAGAAATGGCGGCCCCTATGACGGGTGGCTGATGGCGGCACGTAGCGCACGCTGATGACGTGAGCGGCAGAGATTGGAGGACCCCTGCCACGTGTTGCTCGCGATTCCCGCCAATAGACGGCCGCTCGGTAGAAATGGCGGGATTTTCAAAGTCATTCGTGTGAAGCACATTTTGGCGGGAATCTGCAACGCGACCCCTTTCGATGTCCGTCGACGTTCTCCCTCCTCCAGACGTGGTGATCTCCGCTAGGATGGACGCCGCGGCGAGTAGCAGCTCTGCCAGGCGGGAGTGCGCGTCGCGGAGTCCGGCATCGGACCCCAGCGGCTCGTTGGGCGCCCATGAGGGGTCCTGTGGCGCCAGCATCTCCTCCTCTTCTCCCCCCGATGCCTGCTGGCCCGAGTCGTCGTGGTTTTCCTCCCGGTCACGCTCGTGAGTCTGATGAGTCTTCCTGGTATCCATGGCTGGAAGACTGTTTCACTTCTGACGCCAGTTGTAATATTGTAAATTACGGCGGGAGACCACTTGACGGGTAGCACACTTTATTAACACTTTCCGTAGCCACAATAACACGTGTGGTCAACTACAGCTCATGCTACACGTTCCACCCGGCTAAACACACACGGGCTCTCCAGCCAGGTAGCTTCCAGGGGAACTCACAGACCCACCCCAGCCGGGGTATGGATCACGACCACTGGGTCCCGCAGCCCGGCCCTCACAAGGACGTCCGGCCGCGGGTCCCAAGGTCCCGCCTCTGAGCCACACAGGGTCCCGGCCCTTACAAGGACAGCGGGGCTAGGGGTCTCAGGGCCCTATCTCTTCCTCCTCTGTTTTCCGTCTTCACTGGTTACCAACTCCGAGCGCCCGCGCGCATCGCCTTTCATAGTCCTCCGCTCCCGAGGGGGCGGAGCCTATGCGGACCGCGATGTGAGCACCCACTCTAGTTGACCAATCACCACGCGCTGCCACACGATCCCTTTTGCCAGCGCGTGTCACCACCACATAGCCAATCACCACGCGCTGCCACACGATCCCTCACTGCCAGCGCGCATCACCAATACACAGCCAATCACCACGCGCTGCCACACGATCCCTACTGCCAGCGCGTATCACCACTACACAAGAAAGTGCCATCAGCACTAAGCAATAAACATTGCATGTAATTAATGTCCAGGATTGTGATTGTGGTGCACGCACGGGTAATGGAGGACAGGTTACCCAGGTACCAGGGGCTTGGCGACGAAGGAAAATAATTACATTATTATCTATGTGGCGGTTATATGGTTTGGTAGCCAGTGGAAGGATAATAAAACAATATATACTAAAATTATTTAGGGGAAGGGGTGTCGATTTTGCAACTTTCACTATATCACATAGAAGGCAGAAATATAACAGGTGCAGTGGCTGATTATAAATGACGATTAGGTATTTAAAAAAAACGCTAGATATTAGATGTTTTTAGTCATAAACCCTTATTTCAGTTAAAGGCCATCATTTTTCCTGTTTTTTTTTCCTTTTTTATAATCAATGTTATAAAACAGACCACATTTTATTCCTGTTATTTTTGTGTGTGGCCTTTAACGCAACTAACACGTCCTTGAAATCAAGGCTTTTTTAGGGAAAGAGGCACCTCTTCCCTAAAAAAGCCTTGATTTCAAGGACGTGTTAATGTGATTTGGAATTGTCATTGTGCCACTTTTACGACATCACAGAACGTCGGAAAATGACATTTGGGTGTGGTGTCATGGTAAACATATAAATGGCTATTACGTCTTTTAAAAAAAATATATATTCGATTTTTTTTTAATCAAAAACGATAACCATATATTAACAGTTAAAGGCTTTATATATCCCTTTTTATCATTAATGTCATAATAATAACATGTTAATCCTGTTGTTTTTGTAAATGGCTTTA